CGCCCGCTCATGTTTTTCCAACTTGCCGAATGTTGACATAGAATTTTCACCCGGGCCGGACTCATCGCGTGCCGCTCCGGCTGTGTGAGCGGGACCCTGGGCCATGGTGCTTGGGACCCTCACAGGTGCGCGGAGGCGGGGGGAGGGAGGTGAGACGGACTGCCAAAGCAGCCACCTGTCGTTCTGTACTTTTTAGGACTTCCTTTCATCCGGTGTTCAGCTCCCAGCCGGATCGGCGCTGCCAGGAGGCCTGATTGAAACCAACTGCGGGTGGGGGGGCCGCTCTGAGCGGGAGGCGGCTTCCCAGGCGAGATCCTGGGGGGAAGGGGGGGGGGGGTAGCCGTCTGGCCCCTGCTAGATGCACTCGTCCGCTTCACTCTTCACTTTCAGTGAGGATCGTGCTGTGATTTATACTTCCAAAAAACAGGCATGGGGGGTACTATGCATGACGCAGAGACGATCAGTCTTCCCTATGCCAGCGTCCGTAAAGTCTGCCCATGTCACCCTCACGTGACAGATGGCAGCCTGCCCGACTTCTGGCAGACCCCGTGCTTCATTTCGGCTGCGCCGCCGTCGAGACGCTTTCCGGAGTCGCCAGGCAGGCGGGCTTTCACGGCCGTGGGCCGAAACCGCACTCTCCTCTGCCGTCATAAAGGGCTTGGGCGCAGGAAGCTTCGAGGCATCGTTAGACGTTTAATTTTCAATAAATAACGACCTCTATGAATGATATGCCGGATGCTTGGCCAGGTGGAAAATCATTCAGACCTGGACGGCCAGCAGGCAATTTCCACATGCGTCCGCAAAGGTGGAGCCCCCTGTGTGGGATTTCCGGAATTACTTATTTATCGGGTCAAGCAACAGACGACAAGCAGGGCTAAAAATGCTCAAAAAGCCACATAACGAGCTTTTACAGGACCGGTTTTGCCGTCTCAGAAACGATGAACAGATTTACTTTTATGGCCCGTGGGACTTTGTCACAGAATAAGACATTTGACATAAAACGTGGAGCTTTTTCTTTAATAAAATTCTTATGGCATCTTGCCGTGATGCCGCGAGCAGCTCAAGGTGACGGCACTCGTGTAGTTGGCCCTTCGTTTTGGGAACCTCACGGGCCGGTAACATGGGTCACGCCACAACATCCCCAAACAGGAAATGACTGGAGAGATGAGCCTTCAGAGGCCAAAGCAGCCAACGCAGCACAGGTTTCTGTCCCCCTCCCCAATCCCTGAACATCAGTAGCCGTCTACATACCATTTCCCGGGCCTTCAGCTCATCGTCGTTCCAGCATGGCCCCCAGTCAGAGCCGGCCGTTGGGCGGTTTGCACCGTTGGTGATGACCAGCGAGGGCTGACAGGTGCAGGCTGGCACAGCATTTAACTACAGGGAGGGTGGGGGTTGCCTGATGTTTTTCTTGGAATGTAGGTCGTTAAAATCCCCCCGTTAGAAGGACCACAAAACCCCAACAGCTGGCAGGGCAGTGCAGGGAGGAATGAAGCAGCAGGAGGAGGAGGAGAGGAAGAGCTGCTTTCCTGTGTATATCTGGCTTGGAGCTGTCGTTAAACTGAACAATGACGGCGAGGCGCGCTGACCTGTACTCTCTAGGGGTGATTTACAGATACGTACAGAGAGAGCGGGGCACGCTGAGCCTCAGAATGGCTTACTGCCCTCTACTCTCTCTCTCGGGGTGATTTACAGATACGTACAGAGAGAACGGGGCACGCTGAGCCTCAGAATGGCTTACTGCCCTCTACTCTCTCTCGGGGTGATTTACAGATACGTACAGAGAGAGCGGGGCACGCTGAGCCTCAGAATGGCTTACTGCCCTCTACTCTCTCTCGGGATGATTTACAGATACGTACAGAGAGAGTGGGGCACGCTGAGCCTCAGAATGGCTTACTGCTCTCTACTCTCTCTCTGGGTGATTGGGGTTTATTTGCCTTTTTTGCCATTAAGTACAGTCTTTAGCTTTGATTTAATCCCCCTAAAAATGCATGTTTTATTTGCATGTGTTTAGCCAGTCCTGGTTTTCCTTTTGTTTCATTTCCATGACTTTTGTAGCCAAATAATTTTGACCTCATTAGTCAAATTCAAACAAAAACAATTTACTGGTAAAATTGAAGTGAATTTCGAGTGTACCATCTTAAAGAGGCCCATGGACCCAGTGTCCCAGTGGATGTGGCGTGGTCTGTCACGGCCCCACGCAGGACTTGGGTAGTTCTGTAGTCATTCTTCTGCTCTGTTCTTGGATGCACACGACCTCTGGGGGGTGCTGTGAGGCTGCTGTTTTGCATGCTCTATTGGAGGCACCCCAGCTGATCTGAAGGGGGGGGGCACACAGCCCTCCAGGGATTCAGTCAGTCAGGGTGCATCCTGGTGATGGGGGGGTAACCACATGGGGGTGCCGTAGTCAGGTTACACAGTAAATGGCAAAATTTTAATTTACCTACACAGCTTTCAATTTATATTTGAGATTAAGTATTGTTAAACATGTTTTAATGCCAACACACTGGTGTGATTTGCTCAGTAAGTTGCCATGTGTCTCTGTGTGTATGAACTTTATTCATTTTATTGTGACAGGTTACAATTCCATGTTTCCACCAAGGGCCAGACTTGTAATGCATTAACATCAGTATCACAGATATTTCTCTGTTTGTGATGCCGCCGTCTCTCTCTTCAGGGAGGCCAAAGCCCAGCCTGGGGTCTTTGTTAGAATTCTGCACCACTGCAAAGGAGATTGTAGTCAGACTTGGTTTCCTGTCGATTTTGAGCCATAAAAGGTGTTTAAACCCCATTTATTGCCTCTGCAGGTATTTTATTTTTTTGCCCACGTTATGTTTTTATAAGTGGTGAATCTGGGGAAGTGCCAGAACGTCCGATGTTAAACCGGCGCAGTGTGGGACTCGGTTACGTAGCTCTGGCCTGCTCACCGTGCAACTGGCCAGGCCCAGAGGAAGCTGATGGGTCTGGCTGTATTTGCCCACTATACCGTGGCATTGTGCAGTATACGGGGGCATTGTGTAACCCCAGGGGGGAGGGGAGGGGGGGGCGGCGCACAGCACCTGGATGTAACCGTGGCAGCCGGCTGGTACACTGGCCCGCGCTGCGCCTGAGCAGCAGACCTGCCCCCACCCCTGGCAGCTGTCCGCACACTTGTTTCTGACAGATACCGTGGGACCGGGGAGAGGAAAGGTGGTTTAAACGGCCAAATCATATAGTTCACAGTTCGCAGAACATATATTGGGCAAGATATCAGCAACCGAAACCAGATGTCTGTGCTGAAACGTGCAGCGTCTGCGATGAGTCTGCACACATGTGAGGCCAGGGAAATGGCCGGGAGGAGCTCCGGCCGCCGTCAGTGCTGGGGGGGCAAAACGGCATTTAATGCGCATCATTAATGCACAACACAGCAGCAAAATTTTTCCCCTTATAGATGCTGCTGGATTTGATTAGTGTGGCCCTTTCTTGCGGTCGTTGATCATTTGGGAAGGTGAAGAGTAGCTGAGTAGGGAAGGGAGGTTGAGGTGTGATTTGCGTCCCCCTCCCCCGCCCCCCGAAAAGGAAAAGTGGACGCGGAGTGCAGCATTCCTGAGGTGCGCCTGTTTCCTCTACAGCCAGACTGACAGTCTGGCGATGGGCTGTCAGCCAGTGGTCCTACCTGCAGATGCAATCTACCCCCCCCCCCCAGCCCACCCCAGACACACAGCTGGCCGTTTTAAAGGCCCAGTTGGGCTGGACCCGGGCCGCCTCGCCCTCTGCCCGGACCCGGACCCGTTCCCCAAAGCCCATCCTGCCAAGCCGCCTGTCGGTTGGCAGTTTGTGGACGAAGGTTCGTTTGACTCCGGATGGTTTATCGCGTTCAGCCAAATGTGTAATTCTGCAAGCCGCAGGCTTACAGGATCACAAGTAAGGGAGAAATTATCGGAATCCAAACTAAGTGGCCTCACCCAGCCTGTTAGACGAAGCCGCGATGATGTACGGTTTGTTTTACACATTATCGGGAGGGACGTTTGTCAGACGGTCTGTTAAATGATCTCAGATGACACGTTTCATTTGCATGATATGTATCGCAGGTTATCCTCTGTGTTACCATTATTTTTCACAGGCTGCAGTGTAATATTTCATTGACATTACTATTTTCCATCCTCTTTCTGTGAGCTTCCTTTTGTGAGCGTGCGTGTTTTTTGTTTTTCTTTTTTGGGTCATGCAAATGGCGGTCAGCGAAGGGGCTGTTAGGGGCCGAATTTGAAAGGCAAAGATGCCACCTGCTTTGTTTGCCGGTCGCCGACACTCCCCAGTGGGAGCTGTGTGGAATGTGAGGTGGACCTGTAGTCCGGCTCAGGTGGATCCGGCCTGTCCTCCCGGCCGGAGACCTGCGGGGTCAGGAGGGCGGCGTTCCGAGCCCGGCGGGCCCCGAAGAGTCCCCGGATAAGCGCTTAAGCAGCAGCCTCCGTGCATCGTAATCCGGAGCTGGCTATGCGCTGCGTTACCGCGCTTTAGTGTTTTTCCACTCTGGATATCTCCGCGCTCGTCCTTTTTAACCTCGTGTAATGTCGCAAGCGGGAGTGCGGAGAGAGACGTCCGCTGTCAGGCGCAGGCGCCGCAAAACTGTGAAATACACTTGCTTTTATTTAGATATTGTTGCATGACACAGGCAATAAATATGTCAAAATGGAACGGCTCTGACCGCGAGCACCGGCGGTAATGGAAATAAAAAAGGCCGCGGGTCTCGTCACGGTTCTGTTTCTCATTTGGAGACGGGGGGGGGGGGGGGGGTGGCGTGTTGCGTGGCCCCTCGAATCGCTGCGGCGACCAGCTAGGCCGAACGTTACGGTGGGAGAGGGCTCGGAAAACAGAAGGTTCTCCTCCGGCTGGGAGAACAGTTTCTCATCCTCCTGTCACGTCTGCGCACGTTTATCTGGAAAGCTTCTGGCCTGATGTTCTGGCAAAAACAGGGTGGGAATAAGACAATCGGGCAGACATGGGAACAACGACGGATCGACTTGATTCCTCGGGGGACGGCAGAGATATTGCATCTTTATTTTGATCAGTACAAACCCATTAATACCGGATAACAGGATTTTAGTTGTCATTTGCCGGGAAACACAGGAAGCAATGCTGTGTGGCAGGGTTGCTGGGGTGGGGGCTTTCGTGTCCCACTTGGTCTGCCTGCGAGCGCGTCCCCAAGACCTCCTGCTGGCCGTCACACTCGGTGCGGTGCAGATTCCTCCATGTGGAAGCACCGTCCTGCATCCATTTGTTTATTTTGCATTTTACCTCTAGTGCTCGGTTCCCAAAGTTCCCGGTTCCGAGGCGTTTCCACTCACGTCCGTGGAAGGAACCTTTTCTGGAGTTCATGGATCAAACTGAAGCCTTCGATTCACTGTCTTTTCACATTTACTTGATAAACACTGGAAGACAGGGTGAAGCTGTGGGGGGGGGGGGGACTTCTTTAATAATACACCAACGTACGAATGTTAACAGGATCTGGCGGTCCACAGCTGTCTCTCAGTCCGGGAAGTCCGATGTGCAGGCCATCCACAGGCTGATTGCTTCGCTACACCATTGCGTTCAGGAGTTTGTAATATGTATTTAAATATTTATATATTTATATTTGCATATATACAACCGGTGGGCGTCTGTGCGCCTCCTCCACAGTGCCGGCGTCCTGATGCAGTCCCTCGCTGGCTGGCCGTGTGTCTCGTCATTAACTCCTCAGCGCTGTTCTCCGTTCTCTGTCTTTGCTCTGGAAGAGAGGGAGAGGAGTTAAGCGGCGAAGCCTGAAGCAGCACGGCAGGTCCGTTAGGGATTCGCCTCGTGTCGCTTCCATTTTGGAAACGGGTGTCTGTGAGGCTATGAAACACCATCCACCGTTTTTTTTTTCGTTTCTCCCACCCCGTGTTTATTCCCTCCCTCTTTCTGTGTTGGGTCTCGTCTCCAGCGCTTGCCCCGGTTGCGGCCCCGCCCACCTGTCCTCACCTCTCCCCGTCTCACGGCACACCTGCTGTGGCGGCAGCGGCCGCTGGAATGCCCCGGGTCCTAGAGCCATGGCGTTTAATGTCAACACGCGCCACGTTGGCCAGATCTCGCCATGAGACTAATCACACATGTAGGGAAACCACCAAGGCTTGTGCCAGGACTATGTCTACAGTTCTTTTTATATTATATATATATATATATATATATATATATATATATATATATATATATATAGTGTGTTGATATATGAATATATATAAAGGTATTTGAGAGCTCAAAAAAACTGTCTACAAAACAATTCAGAAATCTTTTTCTACTCTTTCCTTTTTACATTCTCCCTTTTGTTTATAAATAATGTCCAGAATTACTATCGCCAGATGTTGATTTGTTGATTTCCGCCCCCATCCGCCCCCCCTCCCCCCCCCCCCAACACCACCTTCAGGTGTCACCCAAGACTTTTTAACACAAATATTTAGTTTTTGTCTTTCCTGACAGGTAACGTTGGCAGATTGGTAAATGATTGCACTGAGAGAGCCTGTCAGCTGTTCCTACTTTGTGTATCTGGGGGGTGGGGGAGAGACCTTGGTTTTTTGGGCGTGTAACTTTAGCCACAGCCCGGGGGTGTTATTTAAAGCAGCTCCTGGTCGCAGCCCGGTTCCAACACGGTCATGACCCCCCCACACCGAGCCATTTTCTCATGTTCGAAAAGCAGTCGGCACCAGTGTCACCAGAAGAGATTTTGAGACGGAGCCCATTTTGCTATGCAAATGGGTCACCATTTCGATGTTCAATTTCCATATCTGCAAGCTAATCTTGGGTGTTGTGGGACGGCCCGAAGTTCTAGCATAGCCACGCATGGGGTACTTTTTTACCCCCCCGGATGGGGGCGGATGGGTTATATTCTCATTGAATGTTTACAGCAGCGCTAACTGGCCGTGCGCCGATATTGTGAGCGCCCATAGCCTCCCTCTGCCCCGTCACCAGTCTCCGGCACTTCCAGTGTGCGTGACAGCCTGGGGTGGCCCATCACCTGTCAGGAGCCGTTAACAGGAAGGAATGCAGCCCATGCGCTGGAGCGTGGCGGCACTCGCAGCTGCGCATCTCCCCGCAGTCAGATGCGGGGAGAATGCAACTCCGTCTTCCTTCCAGAAGATTCCGTGACGGAGAGCAGTCAAACTTTGTGTCGGCCCGAGATGCTCTTGCCTGAAGTGCCTGGGTTGCATGGCGATTATTGTTTGGGGGGGAAAACAAAACTCTGCCAGACCTGACCGACCCCAGGAGAAAGAGCGGGTTTATCGCTATCCACCACATGAGTGCAGAGTTAACGGCTAGAGGTGACCCTGGTGTGAAATATGGTATCTAAGCAAATATTTATATTCGACTTTTGATCGACTTCAGCATCTGTTTTTATTTAGGTTTTTCTGTTTTATTTCAGGGAATGTATAAAAATTAGTCTTGGCTTTCTGCTACTTTTCATAGAGTAATGAGTGTTAAATAGGAAGGGGGGAGGGAGTGCGGTTTAAAGTGGGGAGGGGGGGGTTTCAGCTTTTAACCCCAACATCAAAGAGAGCCCAATCTGTTTCACATATCATCCAAACAAAAAAAAAAGTATAGACAAGGACGTAATATGGGAGGAAAAAACACTTAAAAGGCCATTATCTCGTTTTGGGGGAGGGGGGTTATGGATGGCGTCCAGCTATAGGGAATATTGTCCATCGATATACCGGTTTTTAATCATGTGGCTTTGAGCATGGCCACATCTCTACGTGCCTGAAATAAGGCGACTGCTTCGATCCACCAGACTGGATTTCTGTTATCAGAGCGCGATGATGCTCCCATTAGCCGTAAGGACTCCCATACGGAGACGGGCTGGTGGGCCTGGCCAGGCGCCTTCACAGGGGAAGGGACAGGCCATCCGGCCCGCATCAGGCACACGTCAAGCCCCACGCGCGACTGGCTGAAGGATACGGCATGATGCGAGTGATTGGTCAGCGTGTGGGTGTGGAAATAGTTTGGAACCAGCTTGAATGAACTCACCATCAATCCCATCAGCGCCTTTGATATCTGACACGTTGCTATTGAAGTCAAACCGATTTGTTACCCAGCGTCTGCAACTGGATTTTTCAGTGGGACGATATAGCACCCCAATAAACGGCCTTCGCGGCCGTTAGTTTGCCGTGTTTAATCTGGATATGGTCACCGATGGACAGCCCGTTAGGTTTTACATGAACATACAGGCCAACAGCATCACGCAGCCGCTATTTCACATGCAAATCTGACGGTGCCTGATGTGTTTGACCAGGATTTGTGTGTGTGAGAATTGCGTTTAGTTTGGGGGACAGGAGGTACTGGGGATTAGAGTGTTGTGGTCTATATGCAGTAGCTGGGATTAGATCTTGGATCGAGCCGCACAATCTTCCCAGGATGAGGTGTTTATATCCCTTCTACTTAGGCAACACTTCGCATTTAGAAAACCCTGAAACCGTCACTGCACCTCTGGTATTTTAGTGAAAAATATACACATCTATTTTGAGCATGTGCTTTTATTTAATTTTTTATTTTTGGCGGATTTCTTTCGGAACTGGAAAATTAAAGAGAATTTAAGATTTCTAACCAGTCGAATTTGTCTTATTCTGTCAGATGAGTTGTACGGCTTAAACGTGCTTATTATTATTATTTTTTATAGGAACATTTGAAGTTTAACGGAAAAAAGTTCAGATTGCGGTTATGAATAGTCAGAGAGCAAATCTCTCCTAGCTGACTTTAAACGCTTCAAGCATATGGTGCGTTTCAAATTTAACCCCCCCCCCCCCCTTCCCTCCACCACCCTTAGCTTGTAAATTTAAATTGCACTTGGGTCTCTGTTTTGGGAGCCTGTATTTTGTGCTCTTCTCAGTGCAGAGCACGATCCGTCATTTTTAGTTTTTACGCTGCTTCTCCCGTTACACGCGTGGACGGGGCTCTGGCTCCCGAAATCCTGCGTCTGATGCTTCCCCCGTTTATTACGGTGATTCTATATTTTGATACGAGGTACAAAGTGTACTGAAAAGTATAACACACCTTGGGCTGGCTTGTCTTATCTTGTAAACAAGAGCGGGGTCCTGTCCCCGGCTGTCCCCGATTCAAGCAGGCCACGCTGGAGCTCTCTGTGCCCAATAACAGTGCATCTGAGCTGGACAGACCAACCCCGTTCCCGTCCGCGTTCCCTGTTTTGCCTCTCCACAGCGCCACGGGGAACGTTTCAGTTTCCAATATGTTTGTGCAGTTTTCGATTGCATGTTTTTTTTTTATTATATATATAATTTTTTAATTTTTTTATTTAGCTTTACAGGCTAAAACGAGAGGTTAAGATGACCGGATTTGGACTTGGTTCAGCTTTCACAGGTGACTAAGTTGTGTGACACACTCCCGGGCGCGTGGCGTGTTAAATTTGGCAGGATAGACATTTATTTTCAGGAGTGTTAAACACTTTTTTTCCCCCCTACGCTGGGACTTTGGCAAAAATAAGTTTGTGAGTTTTTTTTTTTTTTTTTTTTACCCCGCATGGAAAATTTTGACACAGCAGCACGGTTCCCTTGAATGTGATGGCGAAGGAGCGCGGTGTTCTGGTGCTGACCGGCACGCAACGGAGCCGGGGGTGGGGGGGGGACTCACCATCTTCCGCTGGTTGCTCAGGCAGAAGGTGCAGATTTGCTTGGGCTGGGAGATGTCGGCGTCCCGCGCCGGGGAGCCGTGGTGGTAGTAGGAGGAGGAGGTATGGCAGGGCTGCCCGTCTCCACACGCCTCGCCCACCAGCAGCACGTTGCCCAGGTGTGAGATGTAGCTAGATGCCAGGCGCAGCGTCTCGATCTTGGAGAGCTTGCGGTCGGCCGGCTCGGTGGGGATGAGCGTGCGCAGGGCACTGAAGGCCGTGTTCACGCTGTTGGTGCGATCGCGCTCGCGGGCGTTGGCCGCGTTCCGTTGCCGGCCTTCGCCCAGCTGCATCTGTGGCACCACCAGCCGGCTCGCTGCCGACTTCCTCTTCCTGCCCACCTTGAGCTCGTACCCGGAGCCATCCATCCGGAAGGACTTGTCGTCGGAACCCGAGCTCTCGCTGCCGTTCTCCTCGTCCTCGGAGAGCATGTTGATCTCGGCGTAAAGGAAGCGGCCCGGTGCCGGGCGCACCATGGCGAAGGACATCTCCGCGGCTAGCCGGCTGTTGCGCGGCGGGGCGGCTCTCACGCAGCGTTATCAGTTAGGAAATAACAGTAGCCCCCCCTACTCCGGGGCCGGCGGGGCACCGCGTGGCGGACGGATGGGACACAAGGGCTCCGCGAGCTACTCCTGCGACCTCACAGCTTTCCCGCTGCTCATGACTGGGCGGTAAATCTCCCGTGAGACACAGCTCTTTTCTTTCTCTCCTCCTGTAAAAGTGGCAGTCTGGCAGGAGGGTGGGGGGGGGGGGCCGGGGGGCCGGCTCTCTCGGGGTCTGCCTGCCGTCTCTGTTCCCCTCACTCTGCCTCCTGCCTGCCGCTCGGAAACACGTGTGATTTCTGTCCGGGGCTCTCAGTTTGGTTAGACTTTATAGCCGGTGGGAGGGTCCGTCGCCTCCCCCCCCCCGCCCCATTTACAGCATATGCAAATCCCAGAGCTGCCTGGCTCAGCCGGAGTGGATCCACTCTCTTACTATCGGTTCTCTTTTAACCCATTAAGTGCCGGCTGTCCTGCGGAGAGGATCCAGTCTGAGTTTAAGGGAGTTTTTACTTAGAGCTGCTTATTTTGGATTCTGTCTTCCTTCTGATACCTCGGCGCTTTTTATAACCACTTCAACGCTCGCCAGCATCCTTTGGGTCCCCCAGAGTGGCTGATAGCCTCTCTCCCCCTACCCAGTGGGAAAGCTGCTTCCCCCGAAATACTGACAGACACACACCTCCCAGGGATTCCCGTGATGTCACTCAACCTCGAAGAGGGAAATCTTACACGTTCACGGCATCAGCTTTCGTTTGGTATCCTAACGCAATGATAATTGAACAGCTGTAAGAAATAGATCTGATAAAGAACCTTTAACTGTTACTGATGTTTCATCATGAAGGCGCACGTGAGATTTTTAGTTTGCCCATTATCCATCTCATATCTGCCTTTAGTCATTCTTCTGTGAAGCTACGATCCTGCAGTCCGCTTGCAGAAGTCATAACCGAGACTCATCTTGCCGTGAGATCATTTTAGGTCATCTTTGAAAGTCGCCTGTTTAAAAACATGCAATCCCTGGTCCTGTATCAGTTTATGCATTTAGTTCCCTTAAACTGATTTTAATTTTCTGGAGAAGTTCAGATGTGGGGAAAAAATCTGCATGACACAGCAGAACGCATCAATTTATTGCTGACACGATTTGGCATATAAAGTTTTTATTTTAATTTTTTTTTAATATGTATTCTGCCTGGATTCATTGGAAAATCTGAAATTATTTAGTGGCTGCCCTTTTTTTCCAGATCCTTTTATTATTATATGAATATCTGACATGTAAGGTCAGCGTCCGTCTGCCGGCTTAATGACGCGGGCTTCTCCAGCCACGCTCGTCCCGTTCCTCTGCAAATGACAGCTTTCGCTTCAATTAATGACGAGTGAACTCCCTCAGCTGTAAATCAGCTTAAAGCACAGCTGCGCCCCCCCCCCCGCTGGGTGCTCGATGGGTCAGCGCGAGCCTCCGGGCCGGATCGGCACCTCTCATGTGCGAACAGAGGTGTTTGGAGCACGTGGAGCCCCCAGTTTGGTGCGGTTGATTGGGCCGGTTTGCGGTGCCTGGTGTGTCCCTTCCATCAGACCAGCTGGGCCTCCGCTGGCTTCTTCCCTTGCGGTGGGAGGGGCTGGTTACTGGCAGTGGGCAGTAATATTTATGGGGGTGGGTGTTCCGCGCTGCGTCTCTTCTGAGGTTCGGCTTAGCAAATAAAATATAACATATTTCATTTTTTTATAATTTTATTTAACGCACCGCTAGTTACCGGTTCGTCCTCAAACTTGCACCATCATAACTCCACCACCCCCCCCCCCCCCCCCCCGTGCTCAGTAAAAATTTAACCTTTTCACATGTAGTTAATCTTTGTCTTTGATTTGTTTATTTGAATTCCAGAATGTATTCGAATGGGATTCAGATTTGGCCATTGTTTTGGACGTGTCAGATTTTATTTACCAATATCAATGAAGACATAAATGTAAATCCGTCTGTTTCTCCCACTGACAAGTGTTTTAACACTCTTTATTCAAAATAAAAGTAATGCAGGATAAAAAAAAATTAACTACATTGTGAACTGTGGCAGTTTATTAGGAATGATGTTTAGTTTAATTCCAAATAAAAGGCATAAAGATTAAAGGGTCATTTTATTACACACAATAAATCATTTGTTGAGTTTTAAATACAATAGTAGTGAAATGTTTTCCTCATGTAGAAATACGTCCGGTTATCTTGTTCCATATATATCCTTTTTTTTTTTCTTTCTTTCAGACCAACTGGAAGGAAATCTAAAGTTGTCTGGGTTCCTTTTCCCTGTGAAACCAATTTCAGGCCTGAATTGTTTTTACCACTTGCTGTCGCTGTGCTGCTCTCCATGGACCCCGAGTATCAATTTGCTGTGACGCGGAAATATCGACCATCTTTTATTCGATGCTCAAATCTTGAGGTATATAAAGTAGTCTCACTTTCAGATTTAACTCTGTTTGCAACCCTTCTCTTGATGGAATGCCTTCACAGGATTGGGAAGAGGGCGGGTTTTTAGCGAGTCAGCGTACGCTGACCGAAAGAATTTTTTACAAACAAAATAATTGGGTCTGGAACATTTTAGCATTCAAGCTAAAAGATGGTTAATAAAATAAAAATCCCGGGCTGAATTAATCCACACTTGCTGAGAATTAGGGAGAGGGTGAAATCTGCATATAACTCTAATTTATAACTTTAAATATGAAACTTTCCATTTTCTTAACATTAAAAAAAAGAAAAACGCAGCTGTTGTCTGTAACCTTTCAGTGGCGACCGATTCGTAAAATGACATCTTCCATTAAGCGCGTTTTAAGAGTCACAGTGCCGCCTTTAGATGTAACGTTTTGTTACCTCATAAATGCTGACATTTCGGAGTAACAAATGACAATGCTTATTATCTCTGTCTTAGTAGGCTGCCCCCCCCCCCACACACACAGTCTGCCATCTGATTATAATCACTTTGCCGCTCTGACATTTAATCCATACGGCCCGCGGTTTAAAAAACAAAAGGCCGAAGCCAGGCGTGGGTCAGAGAGCTGACAGGATATGATCCCCAGCACCAGAGCGGCCAGCGACTGAATAACGCTCACTGGCCTGCCGTGCTGTCCGGGGGGGGGGGGGGGGGGGGGGGGGGGGGGGGCTGCAGAGGTGTCTGGAAGTGTCCCCCCACTCCTAATTCAAAGCAGACATAGGAGGAGTGCGCCTGGGAATTGCAACCTGTTTTGGGCCCAGGAAAGCAATGCTGTCAATTAATGGGGGGCGGGGGGGGGGGACTTGCACTCACACAAAAGGAAAAATGCAATTAGATCCGTCTTTTGTTCTCAGATGAAATTGCTCTTACTCCAAGTTTTCCACCGTTAAAGTATATTAGGCCTTATTTTATTGTGTTCCCCTGGGCACGCTTACGGGGTATTAAACGTATAAACAGGCTTCCCGGACGACATGGCGGGCTTCTATCTGAGTGCTGCCTTCTGCCGAAAGACTCAATAACACTTAGAGTTTACATAAGGGGGCGGGTCCGAGCCGGGGTCTGTACCGCGCGCGAGGCTGCGTGGCCGCCTTCTGATGCTCTCGCGGGCTGCGGCGCGTACGGGTGCACTGACCATTTTACTGTGTTATAGTAAAGTTTGGGATATTAAGCACAATATTTATGTTCCGTTTCCACTATGAGCTGTAAATGCGCCATGAAATGTCTCCGTGAAAAGAGGGGAACACCTGAAAGATGGGGAGTGGGTGATCTCTGCTCGGCCCTCTGGCCCCAACAAACCCCCCCCCCCCCCCCCCCCGGTCCTGGGATGCTTTTACTTATTCAAACCAACGAAGAGATTTATTGGCCTGTTCATCTATGTGCTTGGTTGATGTTTACTGTAGCCCTGTGAGGTCTTGTTGCATCACAGTTTCATCAAATTTGCATCACTTTTTTTTCTTTAAATCCCAATCGAATATAATTGTTTTACTTGTAGATGCCCCCAAATACTCCTCCTAGGCCGTTAAATTCAAAGAGTAACACTTTACCCGATGGGGCACAAATACTTAGTAATAGCTCAATCACTAATGAAGTACAAATCATGAACAATTATACTTGCTACTCTAGATAAAAGATGCATCATGATTCATTAATGATGAACGAACATGGGACAGTATTTCCCTTAAGTTATTCATGACTTGTTCCTTCAGTAGTTCATAAAGGTTTACAGAATTAACAGCAGTAGTAACTTCTTGAGAAAAAAGATGCGTCACAATTCAGTAATGATGAATTAACAAGAAATCAGTATGTAACTAAGACTTAGTTTGTGGTTAATTAATACATAAGTAATAGCATAATACTGTGTTATTTGTGCCCCATCAAGTAAAGTGTTACCATAAAAAGATCTGATATTTTACTGGAAGGTGCTGGAGGACATCATATTTTGAGTTTAAAATTGTGACGTTTGTCTGATATCTATAAGTTTGCCATATTAGGTTGTCTATAAAATAGATTTGTGATGATGTAATGAAAGTGAAAACCTCCTCTTTGGAATGCTGTGTGGATAGGATTTCTTCTCTTAAGCGGGGCTACACTGGTCTTGGACATTATTCCATAGTCATTTTCCAATTGAGTCTGGCTTCTGTGCCAGGCAGTCTCTCTCTCTCTCTCTCTCTCTCTCTCTCTGTCTCTCTCTCTGTCTCTCTCTCTGTCTCTCTCTCTCTCTTTGTCTCTCTCTCTCTGTCTCTCTCTCTCTCTTTGTCTCTCTCTCTCTGTCTCTCTGTCTCTCTCTCTCTCTGTCTCTCTCTCTCTGTCTCTGTCTCTCTCTCTCTGTCTCTCTCTCTCTCTCTCTCTCATTAGCCGCTGCTCGCCATCAGTCCTTAATGGTCCTGCTCAGCCATCAGCAGGCCTGCATCATACTCATGGTCCTGCAGACGGTGACAGTCCTGTGCAGCTCCCCCCCCCCCCCTTTGCATACTGACATTCGCCTGTACCGCTGCTGATTTTTCTATAGGTTATTTCATTTTCACCCATGATTTTTGTATCACTTAACCTCTTATGCTTTACAAGTGCTGCGCTCTCATGGAGCCCGTTAATATAATTTGCTTGAATTCGCTGTAAAACTAACTGTGGTCAAAGCATTTTCCATGGCCAATTTTGCAAATTGAATAAAATTCATATTTTCTTTGCTTTGGCGGCTAATGTGTTTAGCGCTCAGTTGTGACATGCTAAAAATTAAATCAGCCAGACTCTCGAGATTTAAAACTAAAAATATTCTAGAATCTTTACGTCACGTTAAAAAAAAAAATGTATTCATTTTACAGAGGCACCTTA